ACCTCAAAATTACAAAACAAACAAACAAAAACAATATCTTTCAAAAAGGTCTCTTCAGTGTAATGGATAAATAAAATAATGTTAAGTAAAATTAAAAAGCCGAAGCCTTCTTGCAGTGGATGTGCTGGTTTCGGCCTCATTACCGGCCGCAGTCATGTCCTCATCTCATAAAACACCTCTGATTCACAAATACTTGCTGAGGAACTCGCATTCACATAGCCTTGTTGACAAGTTTGGGTGAGTAAGGGCAAAACACACAAGATGCAGTACTTTCAGTGACCTGTAGCAGGCAGCATCACGTTTTTTGTAGCAGAAATAAACTGCTGCAGAAAAAGCTAGGTCCATGCAAAATGTAATGTGTAACTGCAACACTCATTTCAAATGTAGTGGAGTAAAGAGTACAGATACTCATTCAAAAATGTAGTGAAGTAAAGAGTAAAAGTTGCTAATATCTTCGATACTCAGTACAACTACAAAGTACCCGAAAAGATACTCAAGTACAGTAACTAATCACATTTACTCCAATACTTTACACCTCTGCACTCTACTGTATATCAACAACACTACAACACTACCACACTACCAAACAACACACTTTTGGTAACAACACTACCAAAATCCTTTTGAAAGCTGATCAAGATCATGAAACACGTTACAAGCCACCAATTCCAAAACAACTTGAGTAAAAGTCTTAGAGTATCTGATTTTAACAGTACTTAAGTATTTTACTTATACTAAATATAGGCTCAAAGATGCACTAGTCAAAGAGACATGCCAGTGCAAAACTGTAACGATGTGGAGAAGCTGCGGAAAACATGCAGAGGCAAGGATCTATGTGCTGGTATTTCATGGAAAAACTAGAACAAACAATAAGCCAAAAACCAAAGGGAACAAAGAACAGAATGACTGGCAAACAGACAACCATTACATTCAACAACTCACAAGGAACTAAACAAAAACTAGGGCTATATATACACACAGGGGGCTAACAAGCTTAACAAGATAACAAGACACACCTGGGGAGACTAATCAAGGGGAACCAATGAACAAACAGACTACAAACACCACGGGAGACAGGAAGTGACATAAAAGTCCAGGGCAAGGCACAGAGAATATGAAACAAAAACAAGAAAAGAGTTGATTTGTGATATTTTCTAAAACCAAACGTTTATTTTCTAAAACCAAAATAAAACTGAACACCTCAAAATAACAAAACAAAACAAACAAACAATATCTTTCAAAAAGGTCTCTTCAGTATAATGGATAAATAAAATAATGTTAAGTAAAAAGCCGAAGCCTTCTTGCAGTGGATGGGCTGGTTTCGGCCTCACTGCCGGCTGCAGTCATGTCCTCATCTCATATATAAAACACCTCTGATTCACAAATACTTGCTAAGGAACTCGCATTCACACAAAGTAGCCTTGTTGACAAGTTTGGGTGAGTAAGGACAAAACGCACAAGATGCAGTACTTTCAGTGACCTGTAATAGGCAGTATCACGTCTTTTGTAGCAGAAATAAACTGCTGCAGAAAAAGCTAGGTCCATGCAAAATGTAATGTGTAACTGCAACACTCATTTCAAATGTAGTGGAGTAAA